GGTTCAAAAACATCGAAATTAAAAGGTATTCCTAAATTAGATGATGCTAATGATGCTGAAACAAAAAATTCTCAATATTGTACATTAATTGTAACTGAAGGAGATTCAGCTAAAGCACTTGCTGTAGCTGGACTTGGTGTTATCGGTAAGAGAATATCGAAAAATTTTCTAGAAAAACTTAAAAAAAAAAAAATTTTATTGAATAGGTCGTGATCGTTATGCTGTTTATCCATTAAAAGGTAAAATGTTAAACGTTCGAGAAGCTACAACAAAAAAAATGACAGAAAATAGTGAAATATCACAATTGAAGTCCATTTCAGAGATAAGTGGCCGTGGGTATTTTTTGAATAACTTTGTTCCATTACAACCTATCGAGTTCAGGTCGGTGTCGTTTGAAAACGGCTTTTCTAGTGCATCTATCCATATAAAATTGTTGTGGTTCTATTCATAAGCAAATGTTGCTTACTAATCCTCTTGAAAGAATAGACTGTTGTTCCACGAAAATGGAATGAATTTTAAACTTTGAGGGATGGAATAGAAAGTTATTCAAAAAATACCCACGGCCTCTTATCTCTGAAATGGACTTTAGTTAAAATTCTTGGTTTAAATTATGGTGAAAAATATATCAATAAAAGTGATTTATCGAAATTACATTATGGTATATTAATGATTATGGCTGATCAAGATCAAGATGGTAGTCATATAACAAGTCTTGTTATTAATTTTATTCATTGTAAATGGCCAAATTTATTAAAACATGATTATATTGAAGTATTGATAACACCAATTCTTAAAGTAAAGAATCTTTAAAAGAAAATATTTTTATGTATTTTGATATGTTTTAGGTTTCAAAAGGTAATGATGTTATTCCATTTTATTCGATGCTTGAATTTGAAGAATGGTAAGCATCAACACCAAATTGGCAAAAATGGAAATGCAAATACTATAAAGGTTTTTTTTTCTTCCTCTCTTCATATAAAAATAATAAAAATATATTTATTGAAAAATCGCAGGTTTGGGTACATCAACAGCTAAAGAAGCTAAAGAATATTTTTCGAATATGGATCGTCATCGTATTATATTTAAATATGATTCAATAAAAGATGATTTAGCTATACAATTAGCATTTAATAGTGCATTAAGTGATGATCGTAAAGATTGGATTAAATGGCATACTGAAGATATTAATCAAAGACGTGAACAAAATTTACCAGCTGATTATTTATATAAAAAAGATACAAAACAAATAAATTTTAATGATTTTATTAATAAAGAACTTGTTATTTTTTCTAAACCAAGTACTGAACATGCTATTCCAAGTATTATGGTAAATTAATAAAAAAAAAATAACCTATTCTTTTTTCTTAAATTCTTATCTTTAAGGATGTTCTTAAACCTGATCAACGTAAAATCATGTTTGTTTGTTTTACAAAAAGTTTAATATGTGAAATAAAAGTTGCACAATTAGCTGGTAAATTTTGTTCACGTCTTTGATTAATATCTTCAGTATGCCATTTAATCCAATCTTTACGATCATC